GAGAGAGGTTCCCAACTTCAGAACTTCAGACCCCCGCAAAGACTCCCAAGATAAATCTAAAAAGGCGTCGCAAGGTGATTAAAGGGATAATGACGATAAAAACAAGTGAAACAATCTAAGAGGGGCCATAACCTATGACAGGAGGTCTCAAGTAGGGCTTTTATTATTTAACACTTTTTCAATTTCAGCTCTAGATTTAATTCTAGGGGCCACAAGCCAAAAAAAGATTGTGCATCTCTGCACTGGGCTACAGTTTTAAATGCAGAGAGGGGAGAGGAGGCACATTTTCAGGCACTCAATTCTGTTTAGAAGGGCCCAAGAAAGGCCTACTTGTTGTTGGGGTACATCCCTAGGAAGATTCACAGCCTTTCTTTAATGTTGCAAACACTAAAACAGATTTAGAATATATTGAATATTAGGATGACAGTAGCCTAACCTCTTGACTCAATGTCATACATTCAAAAAGGGGAGCTCATGAAAAGTACGGCAGGCTTGTGTTGCTCACTGTATCTCACCTCTGCCTTAACGGAAACCAGATGTGACGGATGATGACTTTCCTCCACTCTTTCATTCGCCACCGACGGATGCTGACCCGGGGCGTCATGGCGGCCCGGGGTCCCTGCCAGCCGGCCTGCTGCCGCCCTCTCCCTCTCTCTCTTTCTCTCTCTTCACCTCGGGGGGACGCCGAGCTCCAGCGTTTTTTAACACGGTGATTAATCACACACACGGCTGCGGACGTGCTGTGCTGAACACGGCCGATAGCCTCCATTAAAAGCGGGGGAGCTCCGGCGGACACAGAGAGCACTTTGTGCCGGGGAAACACAGGTCATTGTCCGCCGCGACGCCCCGGCCCGGTGGGGAGACATGAGGGTGGACTTTGTGCGGGTGTTTTGACAACCTCAGCTAGGTTTCCGAAGACCGCATGTGTGCCTCATTTCCTATTTCATATCCTGGATTACATGGGATTAATATAATAGATCACTGTGTTGTCATTTTACTCATACTTTGATCAGTTAAGCTTACTTTACAAACAGTAAGCAAACAGCTGTGGACTCATTTATGAGGCATGTCAATCATGAGGAGGTTTAATGAGTTATTCTCTTGCTCCATTAATTGTGTTGCAGTTTATCTCCAGATTTGGACTCTACCTCCCCCTAAAGGATTTCTATTATGGGGTGTTGGGTGTGTGACCTGCTGCACATTGCAAATGCAATTTTTCTAAAAATAGAGCTATAACAATTGGAAACAAAATATTTTCTCAAGAAACATCTAACCCACTGTTTGTTACATGAACATGCAGAAGCTTGGTACATTTAAAAACAGCCCTAAAGCATGTTGTAAGGGAAAAAACAAATTAACTACCCCCGCTGAGAGTATCCGAAACATAATTTATTTAAAATGGAAGAAAGAAAGTGGTGGAAGAAAGGCCCAGATCCTTTACTTTTAAGTAAAAGTACCAATATAAAAATGTAAAAAAACTTCATCACAAGTAAAAGTCCTAAGTGTAAAAAGCATCTGCTGAATTTCAAAGTACTTTTTTCCTTTTGTGTGACATATGATAAATAATGTTATTAATACTGAAGGTGCAACTAGTTTCAAATACTTTACATACAGTTACGTAGTTAAATCTAGTGAGGGGTCCCGGCCCCTCACAGAGGGTCACAAGATGAATCTGGGGGGTCATGGGATGATTAATGGGGTAGGAAAGAAGAAAATACACAGTTCTGCTACATAAAGTCGTATTCATTCTTCAGATTTGTCACTAATTTTAACTTCTCTGTGAAATATTGGAGAGTTTTACCTCTTTGGGCATCAAACACTTATTTGAGTAAAACAATGTGAGAAGTTTACAGGGAAAATACCTCTTTTTTGAAAGAACTGCTAACAACTCAGACATCTGAAACATGGCACTGGGCCCCAACTACACACTGCTTCTTTTGTAAGGGGTCACAAGCCAAAAAAAAAAAGGTTGGGAACCACATGTTTGATCTTAAACAATTTATACATTTTATGTGTTATATGTAAATGTTTAATCTGAAAAGTAATTAGTTACTACAGCTGTCAAATACATGTAGTGGAGTAGAAAGTACCCAGGAGCATAAATTAATAAAAAAAGAAATATTGAATAAATTACAAGTACCTAAACTTGTACTTAATGATAGTACTTGAGTTATAGTATTTAGTCACATTTTACCACAAAAAAATACCATACGATGTGAGAGTACATGAGATGCTATATAGGGAGAAATCTCCAGTGCCTTTACAGTATCTGAGTGGTCATACAGGATCTCTGTAAAGTATTTGCTGCTTTTTCTGAAGTTTTGAATAAAGTTTCTCTGCCTTTTGTTAAAAGTATGTTAATCACTGAACACAGCAGCTGTCAGGTTTGGTTGGCATCAAAACCTGCAGTCTGTCCACGTGGTGGTTGCCTACTTCTGAATGACCAGAAGCACTGTAACTGGAAATGCTTGTGCAGAAAAACGGTTAAATAATAAGGAATTACAATTGAAAGTTATGTCCAATTAGGGAAATTGCAGTGGGATGGTGGTGAATCCAAGGCTCCGAACCTAGAGAGGAAATAGACTATAATGCCTTTGGTGGTCCTCAGGTACTGTATATTATAAAGTGTGCTTTTACTAAACTAAAAATGTTAATCAGAAACAGTAAACTCACTTAAAATGTCAACATGAGCAGAATGACTCTGCTTGATTGTCATAGAAATGGTCAAAAGGTCCAGAACAGTAAGTAGACTTTGAGTTGGGATTCTTTTCGTCACCTGGTCAATAATGAGCTCAAGTATAAATGTTATTTGAGACAAAATGGGATACACTGAAGGATACACTGAAAGTTACTGGTTCTTAAATATAATGTAGCTTAGTATTTCTTATGCAAACTAAAAACAGATTGTCCTTCCTAGAAAAACTTTAACTAAAGACAACAGCTTAAAACCACTGCATGTTGACATGGTAGTGAAACATTTGGAGGTGTGTTTGAGTTTACTCTAAGTGTTGGGGAGGATGGCGGCAGGATAATTCCTAGTTTCACCCTTGCTTGCGATATACAATTATGGTTTTGTCTTATGAAAATATAATTTCTACTTCGCAACACAGCACGTTGTTGTACGCAGTGCATCATGATGTGCTGCTGTGAGTGTTAGATATACTGATGTGATCAATCCAGAGAACGTTGATAACTGGCAGCCTGGATGCTTAGGGAGCCGAGCCAATCAAGAGAGCTGTCAAAGAGGCTTTTCATTGGCCCAGCAGGAAGCTGGACAGCAGTGTCACCGATGGGGACTCTTCAGTCTGGCAGACATACAGGCGGGCAGAGCCGGGTGAGCGCCTTGGCAATGGAAGTGGAGCCGGCATTCTGGTGGAGCAGTGGCTGGCACCAGGAGCAGGCTGGCCTCTCCAGTGGCAGAGAGGGAGATCACACACACACACTCTGCCACACTCCTGCTGAGGAGCAAACGGAGGCTGGCAGGGAGGGCTGCTCCTGAAAAGCTGCCGTTGTCTGGAGATGGCTTTCATGTGAATGGGAGCCTTAATAGGCGTTGTGCGACGGCTCTAGCTGCACGCTGAGCACCGAGTGATCCTCTTCTGTTGGGTTTTAATTAATAAGCAATCTTTGAAGGCCACAATGCACTTGGAGGAACAACACAGTCACTCCTTGGTGGCCTTGATGCTGTTTGTTTTTGAGTCGTACTCAAACTCCCACTGAGGTGACCACATACGCTGGGAGGTGCTGACATTTTTCATTAACTATTTTCACCCACTGTAAGAGAAGAAAAAAACACTTCTAGGTCTACCAGAGGGCTGTGGCTTTTAGTTAGTATACTAAAAGTATGGAACCACTAAAGTATGTCAATCTGAATAACAGTAGTTATGACAATTGGATGAATATGTATGTAAAATTAATCAAAACTGTCAACAATCATCTAAACAAAGAACACACTAGTGTATAAGCTTTCATCTCAACACAACCTTGTTTTTCTCCACAATGTGAAGTTACTGAGTTGGCCAAGTTATGGTTAAATATTTAATCTGAACATATTTTACTTTGTAGTGGTCAGAGCACACACTCAGCGCCAGCCAAATGCTGGTAAAAAAAAATACGCTTCCCTCACCAGCCAAAAAAACAATAGTCAACAATTAAGTGGCTGGGCAAATTTAAAATGCCACGAGCCATTTGGCCAGAGGATATTTCATTTTACATCCTGGTAGTAGTGATGGATGGATGGATGGATGTGCAAGTGCCAACACTTTATTCTTATAAAAGTGACAAGCCAGGAGGATCAGTCTGCCCACTGAGCAGAGGATACCTCTGTCTTTGCTAAAGCAGTACGGAAAGAACTGCCACCTAATACTGCTGTAAGGATAGCACCAGCATGATGGGCAATAGATGCATCAAATCCTCAACATATTTCACAGTATTAATCTCAGCTGTACTAAAATGACACCATCCCAAACATATTTACTGTAAGAATGTCAAAGTACTGATGACATGATCCATGAGGACAGGCAACAAGCTTCAACAACTCTTTCATGGACTAAGGCTGCCACCTGGTGGATGATAAAGACATTGGCAACTGAGGTCCTCCCATACGATGAAGCAGTGTGTAGAACTCAATCCAGTGCGTTGATACCTGTAAGAACTCCCACATAGGTGTGACATAAAAGTTGAAGTCCTCACTCAAGAAAATTTGACCATACAGTTTGTAGTCTACATGGTTTCACAAAATCAGTTTGTTGAGAATAACTTAACCAAGAGCACAACATTTACAGTTTCAGGGTGGGATTGAGGTTTTTCTTTGATCTTCAGTGTGAAGTTGAGTTGTCTAATATTACTTTGTGGAACCATGCTGAACCCAACAGCAGTGTCGCTGCTACAAATATAGGGTCAAATTCTTGTGGTGCCATGGAAACCCCCGACTGATCAATAACAGCACGATGCAGCAAGGAAACAACTTGAGTTATTTGGACAAAGGGTAGTAGGACATCTTACAGCAAAGATCATTTTAATGGTCCCAAATATTCTGAACAACTAAGTGTACACTCATGTAAAAGGAAAAAAATGAGAAGATATGACAAAATTCATCACATCTAGAATTCCACTCAATCTTTAATCAAGACGGGATTACAAATTCTCCAAAAAATCTGCAGTTTCAAAGGGCAAAAAGGGTAAAACTAGCTCACCTACTGAGGTCTTTAAAAACCTGTTCAAGTGTGACTGAAAACGTCCTGAACATTTAAAGGCAGGTCTTTTTTGTTGTCATTTACAAAAAACAGGAGAAAGATTGAGAGACAAATACAGAACAAAAAGAAAAAAATGAAGAAACTGCTGGCTTTTTTTCTCTTCAGAAAAAGAACGTCCGCTGAGGAACAACGACACTGATGACATCATCAAACGACAACAAAGACAGCTCTTTGCCACATGCTGCCTCCCGTCTGGTCCTATATTCTAACTTTAAAAAAAGAATAAAAATAGACAAAAAGCAACAAACAAAGAGAGGGAGAAAGAGCAAAGGACAAAAGAAGTAGAAAGAAACAAGGAGGAAGGTGAATTCCGAGAAGGGGGTGCGAGTGGTGGTTCTGGGTCTGAATTGGCCGACCCATTTGGGCCGCTGTGATGTCCTTCCCTGAGTGGGGGGGCGGGGGGCAGTGGGTTATGGTCCGAGCCCGCGAGCTCTCTGGGATTTCACTCTACGTGTACATGTGTTTTTGTATGTGGTCTTTTCCTCCAGTTGCTAAATCACCAAGCTCCAGCCTGTCTCACGGTGTCTGAGTCTGCTGACGATCTGCTGACGATCTGTTGACGATCTGTTGAGTGTGATGTTTCTCCCCCAACGTTCACGCGTCTGTTCCTCTTTTCAGTCGGGGTGTCACTCCTGGTTTCCTGATTGGCACTTGTATGAAGTGGGCTAGTCTGAGGAGGCTTTGTATCCGTTCACAGTCTGCTCCTCTTTTTGCCACCCGCTGACGACGAGGGGTGGCTTTCATTCATTCAATTTGTTTACAAGTTTGATCATTCCTGTGTGAAGTCTATGCACTGAAACTGTCTGAGCGGAGCACAAGCTGAGACAGTGAAGCTTCTTTAGGAGCTCAGTTTGGACTTCTTCGAAGGTGGCAGAGGGTCCTCTTTACTCTCCCCATCTTCCTCCTCTTCTTCCTCCTCGTCGTCATCATCAGGATAGTCCACCAGCCCCACTAAACCTCCCTGCAGAAGACAAGAGACACACGTCAAAAAACGAGTCATCCTGACCTGCTCGGTATTTTTTGCTCAGTATTACAAGCCTCCTGGTCGATTTCGGTTTTGGCTTGCTCGCCTATACTACCTGCAAATTTAGTTGATAGGCAGATATAATTAGCAGCTCTGTTATGTTTTAAACTTTACTCTCTTCACCACTACTACTCCCATTACTCCTATGCCAAAATGCATCGATTCTGGGAAAACCTTCAAAAAAAACTACCCATTGATGCTCAACCAACTGTCCCAAAATCAGTACTTTGTCTCCCCTCAACTTGTTACTCCCATTTCCTCTCTCTTGTTTGGGTCTGTAGTGCGTCACTTGATATTCGTTTGCTCATTTTGTGCAGTGATGTCGCCGTCTTGCCATCCCTTATGTTAAAACCAGTGTCTGCTGTAAAGCACATGGCTTTGTTCATGTGCCTTTCTTAGTCGCTCCCCGCCTTTTACCTAAATAAAGCTAACAAGTACAAAATCCAATTGCACACTGGTGGTGGTGACCATTCGTTGTAATTCTTTGTGGGAGTTGTGTGAAAATTGACAGTCTAAGTGTGAACATTCATAGTTAAAGCTCAATTCTCACCAACATCTCCCTTCCTTAGTGAAGTAATGTTTGATACCGAACAGACATTGTGCAAAATATTTTCTGGCTTTGTCCTTAAACTGCGTCTCTGAATAACACTTATGAGCAGACTTTCCTCACAGAGACAACTGGCGTTTATGGCCCACACCTTTACCATTAACATGCTGACAGATACCTTTGTGGTTACCGTTGTGGTGGATGGTGAGCTCCGCGCCCCTGAACCCGGAGAACCTGGTGATCCCGGAGAACCTGGGTTCAATGAGGCAGACGAAGGAGGGCTTGACAGGCTGGTTTTAGTGGAGCCAGAGAAGGCGAGCTTGAAGCTGGGGTTCTGTCTGCCCGATAAACTCGACTTCCCCAGTACTTCTTTGTCTTCTGGGTCTTTCACTGGAAGTAAAATAAAACATAACATAAAACTATAATGACCACATGCATTGGACAGTTATCATGACTGCATCTAAAGCAGCACAATCAGAAAGTATCTGGCAAATAACATGTAAAACCTTTATTTATCAAAATAGCATGTTGACAGATATATTATGTGGGGCCAGTAAATAAAGCCCTGCAACCACTGCAAATTTCAAAATGCACTGCGAACAATCAAACACAGTGAGGCAATCTACCACAGTGTTTATAAATCTGCTCTTTTGTCTGTGAAATGCACCAAATGTGAATGAATTACAATGCAAACATACAACACAGAAACGACTGCTTTGCCATACGTACATTTCTTTCTCTCCATGAACTTGCTTATAGGTTCCATGAGGTCTTCCTCTGTTTTCATCTTGTCAGAGGGAGGAACAACTGCCTCACCATCCTCAAGGTCATCCTCATCTGTGTTGAACCACATCTCCTCTTCATCCTCCAGTGTGCGTGCATCACGACGGAAGCGGTGGTTCCTCAGGATGGAGCGCATGCTGGAGAGGATAATGCACCGCTTAGTGGTCAAAAAACAAAACGCACACATATTTATATATAACATATCAAAGCTGCCATTTCTTAAACCAGCTTTCCGCTTAAAGAGCATTTTGCTCTCTGGGGCTATCTGTTAGTCCTACATTTGACAATTTCTACACATGCTACACGGTAATTCTAACATTTGTAGTGGAGCATTATCACTTTTCTGACAACGATTTGTCCGAATATAGTTTTTAATATAATGAAATGTAATGCAAATTTTGTTGTGAGATTTCCTTAGATTGCACAGGTACAGTATGTATTCTACACACAGACAAACCATTCACTGAGCCTGATCTCACTATTGTGCAACGTACCGGGACCCAACAGAGAGGTATGATAAAATGCAGCTGTTGGTATTTCAATTTTAAACCCCAAGCATATGAAGTGTTCTGTGAAAAAAGAATGATGTAAGCCCTTGCATTTGTATACAAAGGTGCTACACAATAAACATGAACTACACAACAAACAAACTATTCCTGTGAACTGCAGGATATTAACAAAAAAAAAAAAAGAAGAGCAAAGTGAAGTTTAAAAAGGAAACGGCTGTCGGTGTTGGTAAGTACAGTGAGTTTAAGTTACAGCAACATAATGTTCTTAAGTGACGTGCTCAGGGCCGTGTCTGTCTGTCACATATGTCATATATGAGTCATATATGAGTAGGTGATATATTGCATAACCTCAGGCGCTAATGGTAACAGCACTCTCGCTGTGTTTGGCTGAGAAACCTGTGGCACAACATTTGTTTTTACACAGTAAGTGCAGTACACGTGTACAGGCTACATTATAAAAGGTGATACAAATAAAATACAGTCATACACTTATTATTTGACAAAATGGCACTATGACAGAAGACACTTATCTCCCAAAAACACATAATGCGCAGTAACTATATACTGGTCATTTTAGCAGCTTATCAATGCAAATGTTCTAACTGGGATGTCTCATTGACTGTTTTTCCATGTATTATGAGACACATTCACAGACAACGGATTGTATCATGTATCACATAATTACTGAGTGTGTAACAGTTGTAAAATTAGGTCAGACTTGGTTTTCTCACCTATCCAGTTTGGGGTTGTCTTGCCTCTCTCTCTGCTGTTCATAGCGCAGCTTAAGGCCCTTGAATGTTTGGACGTAGTCCACATCCTCCAGATCCTTCCAGTAGTTCTCTACTATATGAGCTGTGAGAGATTTCACATCCTCCTGGGAGCAATGGGAGGGGGGAGAAATAGGAGTGCAGAGACCCAGTAGAAGAGGAAATTCATTGCAAAAGTAAAGTGAGGTAAGACGAGTAGTTTGGAGTTTAGGACAGGGGCAGAACAGAAGAGAAATAAAGGGTGGAGAAAATGGAAGAGAAAGAGAGGAGAGAACACACCAAACAAGTTAAAATAAATCAATAAAACAATGTACATGTTGCAAGTTTTCAGTATTGGAATGCAATCTGACGACCTATGAATATTGCTTCCTTTTTACAGATTAGATGAGAAAATAAGTGTAAACTTTATCAAATAAAAAATATGTACTTTTGTGTAAAAAAAAAAAAAAAAAGGACTGGTTGATTAACCTAATCACTTGCCCAGTGAAAAAACAACACACAACTGAATGAGACAAAGTATCAAATCAGCAAAGTGTGTAAAGCCTGGTTTGACAAGTTGCTCAACTCTGAAGGCATGAGCAGAGCAACAGAACAGGAAAGAAAATCAAAAATATGAAGAGACAAAACAAAACAAGGAGCAAAGCAGAACAGAAGAATCATTTTTCTTCAATTTTCTAAACCAAACCCAGCATGAGGCAAGAGGAAGCTCGAGCCTGATGGTGAACTACAAGTTTCTACGGCTCTGTGCCATAACACTTTGTTCAAGTGTTAATTACTCGCATCCTAAATATCTTTATATGGGGAATGTTGTTTTTATTGATTCTAAGATTTGTTGATCTATCAAAATGAAAAAAATAAAATAAAATAAAAATAATTTTCTGGAAAGGTGAAATGTTGGTGTCAGAGACCTATGTAAATGTTCAACAAGAGAACCAAGAGTGACATGAAAGCTTGAGTTTTGTGGGAAAAAACAATACTCACCACACGAACATACTCAAACATCTCAATAATGGCCGAGTTCATGAGGTTGTAGCGTGAGCCGTTGTTGAGAAACGCCTTAATGACGGGCTCAAAGAGAAAGTTTCTCATGATGTAGCGATTGTAGAATTCATCCTTCAGACCAATGATCCTCCGCATGAAGCGCAGAGCACCTGGCCACAGAAAGACAATGGATATAGAGATCAAAGCAAATTCATTTATGTTCAAAATGAGCTTTAATGTCAGGTACTAAGAATTTAAGATTTGGTCATGGTTATCGGTGACTCACATAGTGCCAGAAAGGCGTGCTGAGAGGCAGTGAGCACCAGTACCCTTCTGAGAATGTCCTTGTTGATGATATAGTTCTTGATGTGGTAGGTGTGGTGCTCAACACAGAATGTCAGCAACTCCAGAATCAAGGCCAGCAACTGGGATGTTTGAAAATCATCTAATAGAAGAATAAAAGGTAGTAAGCAACATAAAATTCTTACACACACACACACACCTCAGGTATTCAATACCTTTGCTAGGTTTTTCCTCTGTTGTGTTGGCCAGTAGCGGAGCCGAGAGGACGTGCATACAGTGCTTGTAGAAGAAGCTCAGGAACTCTGTCTTTTCTGTTTTCTGGAAAGGATACAAATATATTAGTAACAGGACATTGATATTTATTGTAATGAATGGTTTTAAAAGTGCCCTAGGTACAGGGCTGTGTTCCAGCCCGTTACATTGCTGGCACTAGGTACTACCAATCAAGTGTAACTTGATTAGCAGGAAGATTCTGTTTTTCAGTTAGTTTTTTTTCCTGATAAGACTACTGTATCTGAACAGCAAATATCCACATATGGATCACATTTTTCCCTTTTGCAGCGTAGAAGCCAATGTGGCAACTGCACATTTAGAACACGTCCTCCATTTGCTACGTGAAATAACCCTGTCCTTCCAGTGCTGCCTAACTCTAGGCTACAGAAAGGTTCACATTTTCCTTTTCTTTACACATCTTTATTAATGAAATAATAAATTGAAGGGCCGTAAAACGTGTTTTTGCCTGATCCGGTTTGACCTAACCAAATTGCACAGGCAATGACAAAATCAAGAATTTAATGTACAAAAGTGCATCTGGACAAGCAAAGTATCTAATACTCAGGTTTACTGTCAAGTCATTGTCAGTGTAAACTGACATTTTTAAGAGTAGCGTGCAAACTTACATTTGCAGTAGCCAGCATGTTCTCAGGGTCCACCAGAGTCCGTAGTAGGCCCATCAGCTGCACCGCTCCACCTAGCTCTGGGTCTGTATCACAGATCATGTGTTCTATGATCAGGTTGATCAGGAGAATGTCCTGAAAGGCCAACAACGATTCATTAGTAACACAAACCCTTGTTCACATCCTGCTGTGTGATAGATTTATGGCTGTTCATGTACTCACATCATCATTCTGCTGAGACTCCTGCATGACGAACTCTCGTACCATAGAGGGGTTGTACTCCACCAGATAAGAGAAAATATCTGTGGCGGCCCCACGCACCTGAACGTCATCCATTCCCTGTTTTATCATAATACATTATATTTGTCAGTGGACTGTGCATTTCACCACAGGGACCAATCAAGTAAGATCTTAAAAACTAAATGGAAACAAAAGTAATCATAAAAAAAAGGACCAACCACATTTACTTTCACTCACAAAATTTTTTCTCTCTTTTTCACATTTTACTTCTAAGGGAGCGTGTGGAAAGGAAGCAGGCATTACTCTTAGAAATGTCTGTTTGCAAAGGTGCACATGTTGTTAGTACATATATCTCAACATATGAGCATGTGTTGGGGATCAACCTATATGCATATATTTGAGGTTTTAATCTACTTTATGTATTTGTTTAGATAACTGTCCATAGCCTGCAAGTGTTACATATTGCAAGGTTGCTCTTTGACATAACTGGATCAAACTGGATAGTGGGTTGTACTGTAGGATACAAAAACAGAACCAATTTCATGCTCAGAGGCTGTCTAGATGCAGGGAAACCTAAAGCTAGCTCCTTTTGTCTGAGAACTAAGTGTATTTGCCTGTCTTATCTGTCCTCTTGTATCAGATCCATTCTTCTGCAGTCACTGGTATGGTAGTAAAAGCAAAGTAACTTGGACTGAAGTTGTCAAAATAAAAATTGTTCATTTGAACATGACAGAAAACGGGGTGCAATCAAATGTATATCAGGACAGTTGTGATGCACTTGCAGTGTTTGGGTGTTTTAATATATTGTTGATCTGTGATCAGATCACTTAACCAATTAATAAAATAAATTATCCTTGAATGAAAAGTGGCTTACACACACACACACACACACACACACGCCTACCTATTTTTATTATTATTTTGCATCTGTATAGCTAGGCATGTTTGCAATATCAACTTTCTGGTCAGATTTACATCTACACATAACTGATCAGGAATGTGGCCCTGGCACTCTGAGTGTACATATATAAGTGTACTCTCCTGACAGATAAAACAACATGACACGATAAGATGCAGCAGTTCAATAAGTGTCTGACAAGACTGTAATACAGCCTAAAACTAGTAAATGCTCCTTTCTACACTTCGTCTTCAGACCAAATAATACTATGACAACCTGCAGCAGCCACCCTAATGGCTGGTTGTTTATTTGTGTGCGTACTCTGCTATGTATGCCCAATGTATGGCAAGCCTCAAAGTTTAACACTATACAGGCAAAAACGGTACTTAGTTGGTTTTCTTTCAGTACAGGCTCATTTACTTGTTCAAGAAGGGGAAAAAATGCTGTGTCATGGTCCTTATGAGAAGGAAATTCCCTTAAGCTAGAGACTAAAACTTTTTAATGTCTTTCCCTTGAACAAGACCTGCACACAAAAAAAGACAAATCATAAAACTGCCGCCTCTCACAACACAATGTCATTTGATACTTAAGGGAGTGTAATTCTGCTTCTTTAACAAGGGGTTCTTGTGATGTGCACAATCCATGGTAAACAAATAGCATTGTATGGAATAGATGCACAGTTGTATCAACACACTGCCAAAACTAGTCATTGGCTTGTTTCCCCTTTTCTTCCTATTTTTCTTCTATCACTTAACCCTAATGCTGCCCCACTACCAGAGTTACTGGCACCAAGAGACAAATTCCATATATATCTGAGCAAACTTGCCCAATGAACTTAATTCCAACTTATGTTAAGATCGCTGCACTCACCAGTATGACCTCTAGTGCAGGTAGAATGCCCATGTTTGACAATGTCTTGAAGAAGGCGTCTCTGTTTTGAGGTTGTAATGTTTGTGAGAATGCACAGAATTCCTTTAGGAAGTTCACCTATAGGGGAGAAGATCAACACAGCTCTATCAAACAAGGCGAAAAGAAAGGAGAAAAGTGAGAACAGTCTTTGATCAATAACGACCGTCTGGCATACCAGTTCGTGTCTTTTGTCGTCATCTGTAGCCTCATCTGTTAGCTGTGCAAAGAGGTCTGTCAGGAACTTCTCGTCATCCTGACATCGAAAGGGAAATAGAGATAAGAGAGAGTGAGTATCACACGGAGGGGCAACAAATCAGGATATGAAGGAAGGAAAAGAACTAAATCACCCTTGACCCTCACACTTTTCTGGGGCCACCTGTGCACTCCGCTAAATCCATCTTAACAAAATTGCTGTTGAGCCACAATGGGACCGGTCAGATACAAATACCATAATGACCATCACCTCTTCCATTCACAACCAGAAATTCAAAAACATATTCAACATAGGTATTTACAATAATTGCAGTGAAATCTACTGCATATAACAAGTCTTAATAAACACAAAGTTACATTTTTGTGGATTTTCCTGATGGGTTTTGTACAGGTTTTTTACTCCAACACCAAAGTTTCATTCAATTATACCTGTGATCCAGTATATCAAGTGCTGGTTCAAATGAATACAACACTTGGTCTGTTAATTTTAGCTTGACAAGACCGCCTCGAGGTAAGTGAGGGGAAAAAAAGGTCCGTATCAGTAGTGTTTGACTTCAAAATTTCACACAGTACAGTGTAACCAGAGTCAACAGCGTGCCAGTCTCAGTTTTCCTCTAGCGCAGCATAACTGATTTACACAACACTCCTCCATCTCTATGGAGACAGCCATACATAAACACTGCTGAGTTGACACAGTACAAAAACACAAAGATCACATGACCATAAAAGACTAGCAGACAAACTCAGACTGGGTAAAGCCCAATCAGCCAAAAATAAAACCTTTGTACAATCCTACAATTACTGTAATTTCCAGTCCAACGGAGCGAACACTATTTTAAACAACATTCTCCTACGTGTTCATTTTGATGTTAGAACGGTCTACTTGTGAAGCCTGTTCGTATTGTAAGTGCATATACATTTTGTACCATTTGCTTTTGCAATGACCAACCTTTTTACGGTGAAAAATGTGGAGCATACACACTTCAACACTTGTGTGTAAAAATAACAATTAATACACTTCACTGTGAAGCCTTATAATTCATGTCAGCCTATCTCACCTGCAGCATGCCCACAATCTCCACCTTGTTGAAGAAGATGAAGGAGTGCAGGGTGGACAGCATATTTTCCTCAAAAACAGAGGGCGTGGGCAGCACCATGTCCTGAATATACTGCACCCGATACGTCTGGTGTATTTTCTGACGCAGTTCAGGATCAGAGATGGGGATCACCTCCTTAAAGCGGGCTGTCTTAGTCAGAAACTCCCGATGCCGCCGCGGCTGCGGGAGTGCTGGGTCAAACTCCAGACACCCAATGACGTCCATGATGCACTCGTCAGAGAACATAACCTCAAAGAGTGCAGTACGATTGAGCAGGAAGATGCCTTTTATGATTTCATAAATGTGGTGCAGTCCCTCTCTGTTCTCTAAATCCTCACACACACGGAACAGCTCCAGGAGCTTGCGAATGTAGCCCTCGTTCTCCACAGCCAGTGCCAGTTTCTCGCGCCGCAGCGGTGATGGGAGTGAGGAGGCCACCAGCTCAGCCAGGTCCTCCAGGCGGTTCAGTTCACACGGCGGCAACTCCAGACCTGGCGACGACATGTCGTCAAAGCGCTCCTCCTCGGACTCGTCCACCACATCCTGGGTGATGTCCACTGATGGGTCCTTTCCCTGCACCTTAACGACGAGACAAACATGAGTGGCAGAGACCGGGAACACCCAAACACCCTCGATATCAAATGCATACACAGATGGAGCAGACAAACAAACACCCACGCAGAGAGAATTGAAGTTACCTGGCATATTTTCTCCCAGATTTCGTCACAGCCAGCCTTCTCCTGGAAGCTCAGTGCCAGATCATAATTTTCAGCCTCTGACCATACTATCAACGTGTCCTTTCCCAAAGAAAAACAAAGCCAATTTACAATACAATCAGTACACAGAGACGGAAAATCCACATGTAATGCATCATGCTGACCTGTTGTTTCTGGTAGGCTGTGTTTGGATTGATTTTGGACTCCAGCAGCAGGGAACCTGTCAGATTAGAAACAAAAGGTGGAGGGGGAGTTCAGTGAGGGTTACGTGCATGTTTCCAGCTGGTTAAAATAAGTGTGTGTTGAAGGTATTGTTTGTAGTCTGTGTGTTGACCTTACCATCACTCTCTGCTCGCACCAGCAGAGACGTGCCTTTGAAACGCTCCACATACAGCGAGGAGACGTGTCCGGTCCCACGGTCATCCCACTGTCTGTCCTCATTGAGGGTATAGACTTTGACTCGTCGACGAGTGTCCGTCATCCTTGCAGGTAGCTGTGACCGGTTTTCCCCCCCTCCCGGACCTTGTTGGCTTTCACAGGGCGTCTGCTTCACCTAGTAACGCCACAACTTTGAATTCACTCTGTTTCTAGCGTTCAGGGGTCAACCTGGGCTAACAGTTCATAGAAGGAGCTTAAACGTGAAACACCTGGACGAGCATCCAGGAAGATCCCCCCCCCCAGATCGAGTCTGCAGCCACAACTACGATATCTATTTATTTTACAGCAGCTGCCTCAAAACTTATCTCGCCAGGCTTATAGGCAACGCACCACACAAAATAACCTCACAGACCATTATAGCGAGCTGACGACAATCTAACATACAGTGCGGAGGGCATTGACGTGAGCTAAGGTTGTTTAATGTACAAAACAAGGGTCGACAGACATTGCAAAGCCCTAGCACACAGTTGAGAGAGAGAGAGGACTAGTCAGAATAAGCCCCACCGTTGCGATGTCTGCTTATTAGTACAGTATGTACGCTTTGCGGGCAAGGTTTTGCCACTTACGTGAGCTAACAAAACCTAACGAGTTAACGTAGCTTGCTAGTACGCTAACTCACCTACGCTCCGCACATTCAACGTCAAACAACACTTTTGAAGCGAAACAACCAGAGCCGTGCGCCGGGAACATTATTTCACACTTGCGGACCCGCAGACACCGTGTTTGACCCTGGACCGGTGGATCTAAGTTGTGTCTGAATAATAACGCCAGCTAGCTAGCGTTAGCTGCCATTTCTTCCCAAGTGCTCCGCCATGTTCTGGCTCGGGGCCGCGGAGAGACCTCTCTCTCCTTACTGGTATTCATGCACCCCAAAAAAAACATGCAGACCATCAAAACTGTAGTCGTGTAATTACTTCACGGTTACGCTTTGCATTATAGTGCTATTTGCCATTCATTGCCGACGACTTGCTCAGATAATTGCTAACGGCCCCCCCCGTGAGTACTCAGCCATCTTGGGTCCCTTCAGAGTCAGTACGGGGTTTCCAGCACAGCAACAACAGGGCAGCGCGCCACATTTAAAGAGACAGTAACATAGCTGGATACAAATGTTATTTCTGAAGGTGATGAGTAGAAAAAATGACTGGTTGAGAGCCTCCAACATCATTTTATCTGACTTTTTTTTTTATATATAAATCACCATCCAACCACTCTACATCATGCTCAGCCACTCTAACCAGTTGACACGTACTTGGATGTAAGATTTACTTTATTAATCCCCAGTGGGGAACAGAGTTGCTCCTCCTCGTCGCAGTAATTTCTGTAGAAAACACTTAATTAACAGGAAAATGTATTCCTCATTGTGCGGTTACATATGCAAAAGTGGACAAGAGTCAGAAAACACATTTATTTTGATTAAATCGAAGAAAACAGTAACAGGAATAGCTGAAATCAGATTCTACGCAATATGAAATGTTTACAAAAACAACATTTAACATCATGATGGTAGGCTAGTAACAATATTAATAATAAATGAAATATGGAAAATAAATCTTCTGGGATCAGTTAAATGAATGAGTTAGTCAGTATGCAGACATTTATCTTATTCAAAAATAATAATAATAATTGCCTGCATGCAAAATCCACAGCATGTTCAAATCCAACTGCCCAGTAAAGGTAAAAAAAAAAATATATATCACATAATTTTAAATGGAAAATTAAAGCACACTACTAAAAATTTGACCAACACATTTTTTTTTTATCTAGCCTGTGGCACATTTCTCCAGGTCGGGGTTCCTCTTCATCAATAAGTTAGTCCTTGCAGCCATTTGCCACACTCATAGTGTAACAAATAAAAACATAGGTATCCTTCCACTCTTATGTATATAAAGCCCAAAATGTACCACATTTTTCAAACCCCTTCCCTTTCCAATGTACAGTAAACTCCTTTCGAGCATGTGTAGCAGGACAAGTCCTCACTGATGCCTTTACTTTGCTGCCTGCTGAGCCTGACGCCGCAGCAGGACATATATCTTCTCCTTGATCCAGTCTTTGTTGTATGGTTGGTATGTCTGAGTGTCGGCCCTGTACCTGTAAACAAATTAAAAATGTTTTTCTTTTACTGGAAGTGATCAACACATTCAACACAAAATTGTTTTTCATTCTAAAAATCAATCAGGCATTTACCAGCCAAATCATACTTACACAAGACAGCTCAGATCTGCCAAGTCGTCAATAAAGTCAAACAACTGACTAATGTCATAAGTGATGGAGGGACTGTTTGGATTCATCCTCTTAAGATGCTCTTCATACATTTTGCAAACACCTAGAAGAGAGGCGCAGGACATGCTGAATGGAAGCGAAACCATTTCCAAAAGTGTGCATCAAAAGAAAATAATAAAATAGTATAGATGAGAATAAACTCGGTCTACGATTCAGTATTTACAACAATGTAACAAGGTTCATTAGAGAGACTGTAAAACACTACATATTTGACTAAAAGGGGAGAGAGACAGGATAAGTAAGATTAATAAAAAGGAATTCAACTATAAAAATGAATTGATCTTGATAAACAAATAACTTCTGTGATTTAAAAAGAAGGTTTATTAATAGCAGTGGTGACTCCAGTGTATACTTAATATTTTTATAGACAAGTGCAGTTAAAGCCTTTTGTGCTGCCTTAGATCCTACACTGTAAATATCCTTAAACATATTTGTTTTATGTGAAAGACAAACAAGTGAGTATATCATATTTAGTGACATTATCTCCCAAATGACAGGGAGCAACTTTGAGGAGTAAATGAATGAAATCAAATGTTAATGTTCCAACAATAAATGTTGTTAGGCTCCACTTACTACACCCACAGGTAAAGACAAAGCAGCAGCATGGTTTATTAGTGTAAATAATAAAGAGACTCACCCTCCATACATTCATTCACTGACTCATAGTCAGCATATGTGCGGCCCTCAGGTCTCTTGGTAGGTTGCACAAGCAAAATTGTGTGCGACTGTAAAAATGATTCATAATATTCAATACAAACAAGTAATGGCAGCTCTTCATATCAGACCACATCAGTTAAGTTATTGTGTGTTCATCCCTGATACAGTAAACACTACGCATAAGGTTAACCTGCTCCCCGAGGCTTTCACACAGGAGGTAAAGGCTCATTACTTAGCAGCAGATCATTTACTGAAGCGTTAACGTAAAAGTCTCTCACAACATATCCCGCTTACTTTATTCAGGCAAAACGACAGAGATAAGTTACTTGAACGTTAACGTTAAAGTGTGTGTTTACAGCAACAGAAGAAAGTGGAAAATAATATATGTTTGACAGAGTAGTAAACGCTACTCTCGTAGCTTGTTAGCTTAGCTGTGATGGTTTAACATGAGCCAACATAGCTGATACTGCGAGTTTTTACCTCTTAAAACGTAAAAGAAAACACTCTTACCATGTTTGTGCTGAACACAGACCCTGTCTTTCTATTGGGGGGATTCGAAACTGCAAAAAGTAACGTTGTTTATTGCTTCTCAATGCCCCGTACGATGTAGCTGCTTGAGGAAAAATGTATCAGGGGAAATGAGATAACTCTTATTCCGGTTGTAAAGTGCCATCAAAATAAAGTTTTGGTTTCAAAATAAAAGTCTGGCCTTAAAAATACAGGATTTTAAAATTGTTTATAAGGATTTACCAAAGTAAAAGTAGCAGTTCTGTAAGTAAAAATCCATTAAAATCTAGCTCATGGAAAAGTATTAGCAACATGTATAAGTACTTTTTATGCTGCTGTCAGTTTTATTATCACAATATATTTTTCTTACTGGATTTTTATTATTACTAATGCATTAATGTATAGCTGGTATTTTGCTGTAGCTGGTCGATCCTATTGTATAGTTTAATCTCTACCAATGCCTCATACTGTATTTTTATAACTAAACTAAAGCTGTCTATGTAGTAGAGGAAGTACATTATTTAACTATAAAATGTAATTAGTATTAGTAGTATAACATAGAAGTATAACACAATAGAAAATGAGAAGTATACTATTACCTCAAACTGTATTTGACTAGTACTTGACTACATGTACTAAGTTGCATTATGCCAATGGACTTTGTTTTGTAAAAACTGACCAATAGTTTAATAAAAGAATTGTCAAATGTAAGTAAAGTGCATTTTTGGAAACATTACAGGAGCAGAGGGAGAAAAAGAGAAACCACACCAGTTTTTTTCAAGGTTACCGGATAGCTGAACATTTATTGGGTTGCTTTATGATTAAATTTAGGTACTCACAATGACATTTTATTTTATTTTATAGTTCTGATCTGAAAGAAGAATGGCACAAATAAACTATACCGAGCATCACAAACAAAATGCCAAAGATCAAAAAGATAATAAAATCAGAACCATGAGGTGGGATCATGTCAGTTATAATGTGAAGCTATCTAGATCATTTTTAATTTAAAGTCTGATATTTAAATGAAAGGTGGTATGTTGGGCATTTTACAATACATCTTTGTATGTAAATACTATATGTGTATGAATATCATGTGATTAACTTCATAGAGACAGCACTCTGGTTATCCCATGATTTGGAGGTATTAGTGGCAAGCACATTTATGCCCTTGCCCTCAGAGTCCCCCTGAGCGACACTCTCCTGGGGGTCTCTCTGCGAGGTGCAGGTGGGGGCTCCCTCAACACACCCCCACACTCTCTCTGGCATGCTTCCAGGGACATGAAGTTATTGCCATTGCCCTGGCAACTTCCATACCAAAACTCTGTACATTTGCGAGCGCCTGAGTCATAGAAGAAGCGGACCTTCCAAGTGTCACAGGGGCCCTCATCTCGAGGCAAGAAGCACACGCTACCAGTGGATGGAGAGACAGGAGATGGTGTGTGCTGCTCAGGGAGAAGGACAGAAAGAGAGAGATAGTAAATCCTCCTGTAGAGGCGGTAGATTTAGCAGATATACAGTATTATAGTAGTAAGGAGGAACTATTCAGTCGCTAGTCATGCTCTGTTGTTGGATCCAAAAATATTGGATCCAACACTTCCCATAATGCAACTCGATAGCATCTTTTATTCGCCTGGTGAACGCTCACATCTTTTAAACTCCACATCCTCAATTTATACTCATACAGCTCATTTTTGTACTTAAAGCCAAGATAACCCTGATAACATCATTATGACACCACTCAGGTTATTTTCTCAGATTTGCCAAAGCTTCTCCAGAGCCAAAGACAGGGACCCTTCCCATGGTAAACTTGTTTTGACTTGTAAAACCAGTTTACCCTTTAATAAATCTGCCAAATGTAACAACTTAAATCAATCTATTGAAACAAGATGAGTAACCGATGTGATTCCTACCACAGTCACCACAGTTGCCTGGTACTCAGGACATCCAGCCCTTCCAAATCCTTGAGCTGGAGTCACCCCATCCAAACAACAGCCGTACCTAAGGAAGAGATATTTTTTTAACATTGAAAACACTTTATATTGAGCCAATATGCTGTTTAATTTATGTATTAGTTATAATAATTGGATCCAGGAAGCAGTGTTACCTGGTGCGGACACAGTCATTTTGGGAGCAACCCTCATTCCTGGGCCCTGTGGCTGTGGTATAGCCATCAGGACAGCAGCCATATAATGACTGCGCACAGTGAGGACCAATCACAGCAGGGTAGGGCTCATGAGCAATGTTTATTTGTGGTCTGGAAGCTAAGGCAAGTAAACACAGACTCAGACATGGTCAGACAAGCACACTGCTACTGTACATGCCATAAATATGTTTTTCATATTTTGAAGGTTTAAGATTAATTTTGGTATAAGTTAAGTTTGGCTGTTTTTTTTAAGAACCTAAATGTGACTTTTAGTCGAAAGGTATTAAAAGACACACTTTATGTTTGTGAATGAGGGACAAGAAAGCAATGAGAAAGCAGTGCAATCATGGTCTAGACAGCAGCAATTACACCTTTATGCATTCACTCAAAAGTAATCTGAGTAATACCTGAGCTCAAATGACTGGTTGGGAATTTTATGACAGCTTTCGCTACACATATGCGCATGTAAAATAATTGCATGTTAAAGCACATATAGAAAGAGAGTAACATTTCAACAAAATATCCTCCACATGCTCTATATACCTGAAGACTCTCCTGGAACATGGGGCACAAATCCTCTCATGGCGGTTTCTTGTGTCCTTGGGTCCTGCACACTGGGGACACCTAAAAATTAAAGTGTATTAATTAAAATACAAACAAGCACAAACAATCAAACCAAAAAAATGACAGTAGAAGAGGTTCCAATTTGGCTCACTTTGTGATCCGGGGCATGTCTGTGAGTTGCATGTCTCCACAGAGATGGGTCTGCTAGCTGTTCCACATCTGGCCTCTGGGTAGGGGTTCAAATCTGTATCAAAGCAGCCCACTCTCCTCTCTCTCACACCACCACCACAGCTTCTAGTGCACTGCAGAAACAAGACAGGAGAGGGTAAACTATATTGAGACCAAGGAGACATAACACTCTCTTTGCTCCATTTCACCTACCAGCCCGTAGTCAGTCACGTGCCAGGTGATGTGTGTGTGACAGGCAGGTCTGCGGCAGGTCTGGACAGAAACAGGTCTTGCCAGTCCACTGCAGGCATGGTCAGGCAGACGGTCACCTCCGGACCCCACACAGAACACCTCCCTCGTCTGCTGGCCTTCGCCACAAGTCACAGAGCACTAACCATCATATGCAAAGAAATTTAAATTGTGTCAGTCCCACAACATAATTACACTTTAAAACATGAATATGCCATTACTAAGTCAATTTAATACCTCATGATCATAGATTAATGAAACCAACAATTTGTAGCTTTTATGATAATAAACCTCAATATTTCCCATGTCAAACCCTCTACCCTGTACCCCTCTTGGACAGTGCAAAATAGAAAAAGAGTGGACATTGATAAACTTATTTTATATTTTGCACTGTGCTTTAAATAGGTACTCAAAATTTAAATTATAGTCAAAAAGTTCTCTTCTGTAAGGTACAAACCACACTAAAGCTGGAGACACTGTACTCAGCAGCACAGGGGTGCATGTTGCAGGCCTGCTGGCTCTGTGGCCTCTGCAGGCGCTGGGTAATGCAGTAAGTCTCTTCCACCACACGGGGGTTCACTGGGTCCTGAGTCCAACACTCCACGCTGCGATACTGCATGCCTCCATTGCAGGCTGCAGAGCACTCGCCGTAGACACCAGTTTTGTAGATGTAAGTGAGTGTCTCCCTTGGGTGAGGAGCAACAGCAACAGGAGCAGCAGAGTGCACGGAATTAGTGTCGTCGTCCAGGCCCATAAACTCTCCATGGACCAGTATCTGGGGTGTGACAAATTATTCTCACTTTAAAAAATAAAAAATATATATAAAATCAGAAACTAGTGTCTAAGTGCTTGTGAGAAGGGTCTGAACTACTCAATGTGCAATAGTGAAAGACTACTTGTGCATTGACCATAGACTGCTGTGTGAGAAAGAGCTGTTCTGAAAACCAGCATGATAAGCCAAATTTCCTCTCAGAAATAAAAGCTTCTAATTAGTCTGTCATTATATTCTAGATCCTAGTTTTGTACCCACCCTGCAGGTGCCGTCCACACAGATATCAGTGCGGCCCACATAGCATGGTGTCCCATCCACAACTGCAGGTCTGTGACGGTAGAAGAAGTTCTCTCCTCTTGGGACACAGTTCAGCTCGCATGGATTGGATGCTACAGGACAAATACAGCCATAAAAAATATGAGATAAAATATATACAGTGCACAATAAGAGCTGCCTCAAATAGTATGTGCATTTATTTTTAGTATGGTTTGACTGCCATGAACTAGGGTTTTATGTATAGCAGTCAGTCAAAAAAAGAAGACAATCACAAAACAGTAACGTCAATCACAATTTGTGTCTATTACGTTAATTTCATTTTTAATTGATAAGTTACATCTCTGTCAATCCAAGGATGTTAAATAAAAAAATACATATATACATGAAGGTATTATTTCACCTAGACTCAGGTAATGTGGACAGTATATAATAGGTTTTATACCCCCATAATAAGGAACCCATGAGTGGTGTTTGCTCTGAAAGTCCATTCTGTCAAACTGTGAGCACTGCTCCTCCCTGAAGTCCCTGGATCCAACTGGACATTCCTACAATGACGCAAAATGTTGGCATATTTTAGGATACATTCGTGCAGAGTTAGAGGGTGGATGTAATACACAAAGAGGCAAAAAATTATTTAAAGATAATTACATGTGTATTACAAGTTCGGAAGGACTTAGATGATCCTATGCAGTTATGTCCTCCATCTGTCCTGCAAGTGAGAGGAAAGAATGATATCTACATGCAAGCCAAATATCTCTCTTTCTTGTTAAATGCATTTGTTTTGTTTTTTGGTCAAACCTAAAACATGTGACACGATTGCATTACTTTTCATCATGGGTCATCCCACCCTGATAACCCTGCATCTCTATGTCTTACCTTGAAGTAATACATTTCCTGGTTCTCATTGCCACTCCTGTGCCACAGGTGCGACTGCAGGGCCCATAGGCTCCAAACTCTCCCCAGTAGTCATGGGTTGGCCGTGTCAGCTGAAAAAAAACAACAGTAAAACTCCTACTTGCTTAGCTTTTGGAACACGTAGTGCTCTCACACACCGTATCATAGCCCACCACAAACCACTAACACACACTAAGAGCATGCTCGAGACACCAAAATAGAAGTTGGAACATTTAGCCACAAACCGTCCCCTAAATATTGCGCAATGTGTGTATAAATCAGCAGCATCACAACCATACTAGGATATACTTTTTTGGTGCGTTGAGATTTTGGACATTCTGTACTTTACTGTACTTGCAGTTTCCATCTGTACTAAAGGACGTATTACTGACATGGGCACTCAAATCTTACAGTATTATTATTATTGTTAAAAGACTCACAGTGATAGCAGGTCCAGCCAGCAGCTGTAAGAGACCCAGGACTTGGAGTACGTTCATGTTCACCAGAAGCTACTGCAGAACTACTGATGAGGATAGCAACAAAATAACTACAAGTTCAATCAAAGTATTTCCATTCATTACATGCATGTGTACCAGATGATACCTAAAGTTCTTGATATCCTTGATCATTTCTTTGAATTTAATGCATGCATTAAAGTGTGCAAAGTGTTTCACCTGGATAGATTAAACAGCTAACAAAAAATATCATCAGGTGCTATGTAGTCTTACCTTGTTGAAGTGAATTCCCAGCTGACCAGCAGTCCAAAGGGACGTGCACCTCAGTAGTGAAGGTAGGCACTGACACCAAGCTTTCTATCTCCTCACCCTCTCTACGCACCAACACCACAGCCCATAAAAGTGTCAGGTTTCAACCACACAGAGAAACGTTTTGGGTTGTTGTTTTCTTCCCCAAAAAAATGTCACTTTTTTTGACGTTGAATATAAGTTGTTATTTCTTCTATTTGCAGGGTGTTTGCAGTTAAGACCTTCAGGCTGTGAGACTATTTAAGCCTTTTCATCAGCAGCCATGTGTTTGTGTTGAAGAAATCTTTTTTTTTTAAAGTGCTTTTTGTAAAATTGAGTAAAATCACAGTTTGTTCCAATACAGAAGAAAACAAAGACATTACTTAAACACAATTTAATGGTTGCATACATAAATTGCAAATCTTAGCGCAACATAATCCATTAAGCCTTTACACGAGAAGCCCGCTAAAATTAGATTTGAGGTGAAAGAGATTGTAAAGTCTACCATTGATTTTTTTCAGGTTGCTGCCCACTGAATGTCCCTTTCACACATCCCATAACCACTAAATACAGACCAATAAGTCACAGAAGAGGAGCTGGTGTTAGATAAAGATCACCCTAAGGCTCTATTTAGGGTTTATTTTAGTGAGAAACCACAGTGGGTTGAGAAGAGAATGTGGAAGATTTACCAATAGTCGTCAGTGAAGCTGGAGGAGACATCCAGGCTGAAGAGAGTAACGTATATATTTAACTGTCAACCTAGAATACCTTGGTGATGGAAAATCATAGCTGTGATGTGTGTTTTTCAGTAGAAGTGATAGTAAATCATTTGTTGACATGCAGCGCAGACTGGACCTCTTGTCATCGTCTGTGTTAAAGACAGCAGCACATGGCAATCTAGAATGACAGCAATGCAACAAATTGTACCCTTGTTAAGCTCACAATGTTAAAGTTTTATTAAAATTATGACAGAGAGTTGTTGATTCAACTTTATGTCTATTTATGTTGCCTTAAAGGACCAGTATGTGGGATTTAGTGGCATTTAGCGTTGAAGTTGTAGATTGCAACTAACTGAACGCAGCTCAGCCTTCCAAGCATGCAGGAGAAACTACGGTAGCTGGGAAACTCATGAAAAATGCAAAAGGACCTAGTTAGAATATTGTTTGATTTGTCCATTCTGGGCTTCTGTAGAAACATGGTGGTTCAACATGGCAGACTCCATTGAAGCGAACCCGTTCCCCCTTTAGATAAAAACGCTTTATTCTAAGGTAATGAAAACACAACAATTCTTATTTTCAGGTGATTACACACTAATCAAAACACACTATATGAATATTATGTTTCATTTATAGATCATTCTAAATGTTAAACACTGGTCCTTTAATGCATTGTATTATATTTACTGGACTAAGTGTAGTGGTACAGAATTATCCAGGTTGTCAGATACAGACCTAAAAAGTACAAGTTGCACAACAAAATGTTTCTATAATACCATTTAAGAATCTAATTAAAGCGTTGCTTCAAAGCCATAAAAACCTCACATCCTCCAAACCCAAATTAAAATTTTGACTCACACATCCAAATCCAAAACCACACCCCCCACAGTTTTAGTTTTCTCCTCAAAGAGAAACAAAAGTCTGTCAGACACTTTCTGTCCCTCAGAGCTGCCGGTTCAGTTTCTGTGCTTGCTTCTCTTTGGCTTCAAAGGCACTCTTGGTGCTGAACAGGTCGTCCACTGAATCCATGATCTCCTGCATTTCTCGGGACAAATTTGAATAGCTCTCCTTTAGCTCTTCTTGTTGCTCCCTCAAGTCCACCGCCGCACGCATCAGCTCAGTGGCCTGGTGGCTGCAGTGGCTCCGCAGCTGCTCCACGTCTGACAGCAGCACCTCCATGCTCTTCATCAGCTGCTCCAGCCTGTCGGCGGTTACCTCAAACCCGGATGTGTCCAGAGTCCCGACCTGGGGACCCGTGTCTGGAGCCTGGGCCTGAGACTCTTCTTCTGCCTTTGACTCCATGATCCTGCTGAAGCAGCTCTTGGGCACCTGATACTCAAGTCAGACCTCAATGAAACAGATATCTGGAAGAAAAGGGAATCATTTAGCTGTTAGCCAATGACAGCCGTGAAAGGTCAAAGGAAAGGATTCAAATATTGAGAGACTGAGAAATGGCAAAGATGCAGAGCTGCTCCTACACCTTTTCTCTCTCTCAGCTGGTAATGAGTTTAAGCTCCTTGCAGGGGGTGAAAAATGCACTTCTGACTAATCTCCTGCACTTGTGCACCTGCTTGTACTGTGTGTGAGTGTGTAGGTATATGTGTATGCGTGTCCAGACGCCCTTTCACTGACATGTGCTGTCCTGTAATCCATTTAGGGCAGCTATCCTGAGCAATACCCTCCCCAGTCCAGACCATTGCTGGCTCGGGTGACCGGCAGGCGGGACATCAGATTACGTGGTTCTCTCCTCCTCCCAGCCTATTCACTGCCACGGCTGTCTGAGTAGACAGATTAACCCCATCCCCATGAACTCATTGGTGGGTGGCTTTGACACTTACATGCACACACTCTTACGCACGATATAATCTCTTATCTATTCTCTCTGACCCCTCTTTCTGTCTGTCCCCCAGGTATTGCTCCAATAATACCACTTGTTGCTGTGTGTTTGCGCCAAATTTGTGATTTTTTTTTTGAGTAATTACATCAACACAGTTTAAGACACAGTTATTTGGAAGAGATAAACCTCATGCATGAAACACATCTACCTTTTTTCATTACATCACACACCTACATTGAGAAAAATCAACCAAATTATAATTTTGATATCTTAAGATGATTGCTCTACAGTGCTCTTATGTTTCATTCTATCTTCTATCAATAACTCACATGTAGTGAATTAATATAATGAAATAGTCTATCCAATCGAACATGTCGTGCAGACAGTATAAAAATGTTTACCCTGGATTTTCAATACCAAGTGAGTCTTTCAAAAAAGATTGTGAGATGACGCCCTCTGATGGCTCATTTGGTAAAGGATGCTCCACTAAGAAAAACACTAGATTGATATATATTATCTAATGAAATATGGGACTAAGTTAAGCAGTATTTTAAGACAGATATGTGTTAAACTGTGAAACTAAAGAAGAAAAAATGTATTTGATAGAAAATCATGACCTGATATTTAATTTTGGCTAAATAATTTCAGTGGTTTTCAAGAAGAAAAAAAGTTGGCTGACTGATTGTAATTTATAGTAATCCTTGTTTGATCAATGATTTACTATGAATACTGTTATTTTCAAATCTTAAAAAAAAAGACCAGAGGGATTCCTTAAAGGTCCAGTGTGTTGACTTTAGG